ATGAGCTGAGAAACACTGCATCAAAATATTCTATCTTATTCTATAGCACTCTTAGTTCTAGCCCAGAGGATGGAGGGCCTATGACCATTTAGAAAACCATTTTAATTGATCGTTTGCGTTTTCCTAATATTTTATATATTTTAAATATTTAAATTGCTTGAACCACAGAACCTCCCCCCCCGAAAACATCAACATTATTAAAACTAAGCATTAAGAAAAGATATAAAGCTGGTACCTCAGCAGCAGTAAGCAATGTGTTTATCGGTGCAGATAAGCAGTTGTTTCTAGCCACCCTCCACATCTTGTCATGACACTCATAAGTTATATTTCCTCTCGTGGTATTGTTTAAAACCAGACAAGGTTTTGTTATTCTGGCTCCTTGCTCTCCAATGCCAATGCTGTCTGAGCAAGACACTTTAGTCGTGTCTATATTGAGAAAAGAGTGAAAAGAAATGGAATTCACCATCTTACTCATATTTTCCTTATTTGGGATCATTTTTCACAAGGAGAGTCTCCAAATACATACATATATTCCCATAGCCCTACATGTAAAAGGCTCACAGACACTAATGAATGAAAGTTGGAAACTCTTCTATAGGACAGGAAGGTATTTTTATCTCCACTATAATGATGGAAAACTGAGACACAGAGACCTGAGTCATCTAGAGGTCACAGGAAATACATGGCATGACAGAGAAGAAAAATAAGATTTTCAGTATCTTATGGGTATAAACCCCCCAAAGTTGAGAGCTGTTTGGATCTAGGATTCTTATTTAAGACCATCTTAATCAGAACCCTCTAAAGGATATAAACTTTGGGAATCTGCTCAAAAGCATCTCAAAATCTGATTGCTGGAGCTTCTAGGAAAAAATCAGAGATGCACGTATCCTTTCAAGCCTTCTGAAGCCCAGAGACAAGCTCTGCTGTTTCAGGAAGATTTACATAGACACTCGTACACCTTGCGTTACTTATTTATTTTCATTGAATGCATCTCCACATCTGCACATGGCAGGTGGGCCCCAAGAGACGATAGAAGAAATACATATATTCATTTTATTTATTTATAAAGTGTATTTTACTTACAGCCTTTCAGGTTATTTATATCTCGAATGAAACCATTTAGAAACCTTATGTTAGCGTTCACATTTTTAAGTGACAAAGTGACCCATGCCCACATTTTTAAGGTTTGTCCATTCAATTGTCCCCTGCATTCATTGGGGTGGGGAACATTTCTTACATGTGGGTGCAGCACCAGAAACAATGGCAACCTCCTGCTGACTGAGGCCTTTCAGTTCTACTGCAACACAAATAGCAAATACAGACTAAGGGCTGACTGCCAATCCTGGGCCGCCTCCGAAATCTGGTGAACAACGACTCTTGCCACCAGTCTGACAGGACTAGTATAAATGCTATGGATCATTCATGTGAGTAACAACGTTCACATCCTGGCCTCTAAGGTGTTTAAATGAGAGCTGCATGTACAACGGTTATGTGACCCTGAAATAGTGGTAGGTATTTGCCACCTCCAACTTACTGCTTTTCTAATGCAGGCATCATCCATTAAAGGAGGCTCATTTCTCCTACAATCTGAAGCGATCTGAGAACAGGATGTCTCTGATTCCTGCTTGGAGTACCAGGGGTGCTTGTACACGTTATGCATTG